AGGTTGGCTGTACCATGCAGAGCCGTCGCATGGGGGGGGGGAAGAAGAGTCTACCACTGCGGGGCGGGGGCAGCGCCGGCTCCCCCACGCCCGGTCCCCCCGGAACCACCCACCCAAGGGGGGCCCGGTCTCCAGAGCATGGAGAGCTCTCCCTCCCCTGGCTGTGAATACAGACAGAGCCTGTATATGGCATCTATTTATAGCACCTACTTATGGGGCCTATGCATGAGGCCTGTGTATGGTTTGAGGCCTGTGTATGGTTTGAGGCCTGTGTGAGGCCTACGTACAGGACCTGCGTGTGGGGCCTACAGACCAGGCCTTGCTATAAACCAGGCCAACACGCAGGGCCTGTGGGTGAGAGCTAAATAAAGACCAGCCCAAAGTACGAACTGGGTCTAAATACAGCCTTGTTCAACAGGCAGGGCCTATAGGCAGGGCCTAAGTATGGACCAGAGCTAGATTGAGGCTAAATGCAGATGGAGCCAACAGAGCAGGCTTAAATGTGGCCTGGGACAGCAGCCTGGGGGTATCGGCCAGGATTAAATGCAGACCAGATCTAAATACAGGCTGGGCTGCAGCCTGCACCTACGGCTCCAGACTACGTATGGACTGGGACTTAGCACAGCCCAGGACTCTCTTTTCCTGAGCTTCCCCATTTCACAGCCCCTGGGAACGGCTCTCCATCCCAGCGTGGCTGCCTTTCCCCAGTCCCAAAACCCCTACCCTGCCCTAATTTCTGGCTCCCAGCACATGGCTGCATTTCCACACCCGCTCCTTCAGCTCAGCGCCCAGTTCCCCCAGTTCTCCCAGTCCTCGTCCCCTGCAGGACACCTCCGCAGCACACCCTGCTGTGGCAGTTCATCGGCCCGGCTCCGGGTGGGATTGGGGCTTCCCAGGGTGCGGGAGCGGATGCACGGAGCAGCGTTGGGAGCCGGCGAGGAGCTGGGGAGATGCCAGTCTCCAGCTGGCACACGCAGTCCTCGCGCTGTAGCTAAACCTCCCGCGTGAAGCACGGCCAACACCAGATGTTCTGGTATCGTTAGTCAGGCTTGGGGGAAAAAAAATCATGGGAACTTAGAAGGAAAAACCTCACTCTGGCAGCTAATTGATATTCTGCATTTGGAGCCTATGAACACCCAATTGAGGCACATCCTTGGATTTATTTTATTATTTTTTTTCTGCAACCATAAATGCCAGAAAGAAAATCACTGAGAAAAAAATAAGTGAGATGCGGATTCACCCGACTCCAAGGGCTGGGGCTTGAAGGAAACATGGAGTATTGTGAGACCCCCGCAAATCTGACTCTGATGTGAGCCTTGGGCACCTGATTTAGATTTTAACCAGTCACGTAGGCTCCTTTAGTGGTTGTAAGTGACATGACAGGTCCTGACAAGACACGGGGTGGTTCTTCTCACCCATCTCAGATGAGAAAAATTATCCTCTAAAAGTGTGTGTCTGTCTTCATCCATAAGCGACTCACACAGCATTGGCTGAAGGTACGTGATCTGTGGGACCCCTGAGGCTGCAGATTGGACTAAATTGTCTGGCCTGGCCTTAGATCCAGGACTTGATACTACCTATGGCTACAAAAACGAGAAGGAATAATCACATCTAGACAAGAGGCTGCTTGATTTAAGTTGTTTGGAGATAAATTGTGCAAAAAAAAGAAATAGCTCTCCTTCCAGACACAACAAGCCCGCAGTGGAAAGAAATAAGAATTAACCCTCGTAAATGAGGCTCAAATAGGAGAAAGTGAATCAGCATCCGAGATGTATTTATGCTTTAAGGTGATTATCTCAGCTCCCTTCATTAACATGATAACAGCAGACTCGGCAAACAGGCACAGGGGTAATACTGTAGATGTCTGCACTTTCATTTCGCAGGAGACAGCTGCCGGGGAGAATGGGATTATTCGTGGAGAGCGAGCGCTGAAACTCCTCCTTGCTGATGCAACCAAAACGGGACGTGGTGATTGAGCTCACCTCCTTTCATACGGAAAGCATAATGGCCACGCAGTTGAAATCTGCAGGCTCAGGACAGACAAACTCCTCACACGTGTGATCGCAGGGCTTCCCTTCAGCATCTGCTCCCCTTCCCTCTAGAGCCGCGTGAAAAATAGCAGTGGGTTTATTTTTTTTTGCCCGAAAATTGTTAAAATAAAAGCTGGGTAAAAAAAAAAATAATTGCCCGTTATTGCTAGAGCAGCTGTGCTGTAGGGAAGATCTCTCAGGGGCAGGGAGAGCACCACTGGCTGCCCTGAAAACTGTTACTAAGGCAGAGAGGAAGATTCAGCGGCAGCAGCTGCTCTTGCAGCCGGTCCCCCAAAAGGCCAGAAAGAGCTTGAGGAGTGTTTCAGGGATTCCCGAATACCCTGAGCCCTCACAGGTGTATTCATGATTCCTTCCTGCCTTTTGCTGCCAGGATCTGAGACTTGCAGCCCCGCCATTTCCAGAGAATTAGGGGAATCAGCCAAGAGAAGCACCCGGAGAGGACACTTGCCCACTGGGTGTATTCATGATTCCTTCCTGCCTTTTGCTGCCAGGATCTGAGACTTGCAGCCCCTCCGTTTCCAGACAGAGAATTAGGGGAATCAGCCAGGAGAAGCACCCGGAGAGGACACTTGCCCACTACAAGTCCCCACCTCATTGCCTGCACCCCAGACATGTCAGGAGGCACAGCCATGGGGAAGGACTAGCTGAAAGGAGATGATTATCCCCAAGAGACAGGTTATTTTCTTCACCTCTAATTCATACACATCTCTGCATTATGTGGCCTGAATCCTGGGCTAAGGGGGGGTTGATTAACAGAAGCCCCAAGGCAAGCTGTACCTGGGCAGGACATGCTTTCACTGCTGCATGGGCTCACCCCAAGTTTCCCACTGGCACCCACTGGTTCTGCACCCCTGAGAGTGTTTTTTTCCCCTCTGGGTTCTTTGAAAATGTAATTATTGCTGAAAACTCCTCCGCGTAGGTGATAGCACCGGGCTGCAGCTCTGGGAGAAACCCAAAGTTGTCTGATAACGTTGCAAAAATACCCACATTTAGAAAAACAGAACGGTTGGGTATTTCATGGGTTTACAATTGCTGATTCTTTGTGCCACTTCTTTCCCTGCACTATAAAAAGCCCTTCCCTTCGTCCTTAGGGCTCACCGGGGGCTTTGTTATCCGTGAGTTACAGTCAGCAGTAGATTAGTGAGTAACTCCTGCATCTGCGTTGTCCTCAAATGCGTGTGGGCAACTTCTCCACCCCAGCCTGAAGAGCCCCAGCAGCCTCTGAGCATGGAAAAAAGCCAAGTGGGATTGGGAAAGCAGGGCCTGGTGGCACTGGTGAAATCCCAGCGTTATTCCATTTCTCAGCCCTGTACCACAAGGTGTCTCCAGCGGAACAGGCATCGCTGCCGGCTTTGGGGGCTGCACCTCGGCATCTTCCCCCGGGCTGGGACAAGCAGGGACCTCACAGGAGCCAGTGCATGCACCTCGGCATCTTCCCCCGGGCTGGGACCTCACAGGAGCAAGTGCAGTCCCTGTCCCTGCTTTCAGCAGTTCACACCTCTACAATCTCAGCAGCAAGAATAGGTCTCCATCCTTCATTACCTGAGATACTTAATTGCTGCGAGCAACCAAATTTCATGAGGGTGAGCTGAAGCCAAGATTTTTCTCGCTTCTCCTTGTCTTTATTTCCCTGCATTTTACAGTTTCCTCCTTCCTTTTTTTTTAATCCATATTCTTGTATAAACATTTTTAAAATACCAGTAAGCATGAATTAACTTCTGAAGCCCATCTCAGCGATGGCCAGTTAAAATGGGGTATTTTTATTCATTTGAAAGAGCAAATAGTAAAAAAATCATTTTAGCCCCCAAGTCAGGGCCCAGCAGGCTGAGCTGGTGCTCTTGGGCAGCCTGACCTGCAACACTGCAATACCAATGGCTCTTTAAATCAGCAAATCAGCAAATTTGTGGGGGACAGGATGAATGACATAAATTAAAAGCAGGAGGAGCATTAAATCATAGTGTTGTATTTTTACCATTTCCTCTTTTTTTTGGTTCTGCAATACCAATGGCTCTTTAAATCAGCAGGGTAATTTGTGGGGGACAGGATGACTGACATAAATTAAGAGCAGTAGGAGCATTAAATCATAGTGTTGTGTTTTTACCATCTCCTCTTTTTTTCGGTTTGGTTTTGGTTTGTTTTGCAAAATAAGCTGTGTTGTTTTTTCTGGTCAGTTTGGCACTACACCACTTTCAGAAGCATATACTATAAATGCATCCCCACAGACATATGCATATATGTAAATACATGCAGACATATGCATTTACACTCGCTTGAGATCTTCCTGCCCATTAATAAGCTGTGTTGTTTTTTCTGGTCAGTTTGGCACTACACCACTTTCAGAAGCATATACTATAAATGCATCCCCACAGACATATGCATATATGTAAATACATGCAGACATATGCATTTACACTAGTATTACTATTAACACACTGACAGTAAATCGCTTGAGATCCTCCTGCCCATTAAACGGGTGTATGTGTG